TCTCTCATAGTTGAGGTATAGCTATGATGACAATTACCGGCCTCTCTCATCCTTTTAAGTGGGAGAACTTGCACAATTGGTGGCTGACTAAATACTTTTTTGCCCCACTGTACCTATTGCATAGCAGAAAAGCACTACAGTTCAAAAGCAAATAAATGCTTTGAAATGAAAGCTCTGGGTTCAATCCATGGCCTCCCCAGATAGAAAGAGTAATGGGAAAAGCTCCCACCTGAGTCATGGACAGCTGCTTTTCAAGTACATACTAGCACCTAAAGAGCTGCTTTGTATAACCATATATATGTAGCCAAAAGTATAATGTTGCTAGAGCCCAGATTTTCTATAGCTAGGTCCAGTGTTTCACTGAATAATAGGAATCTTGCTTTATAATATCCCTGCAGTCTTTTCCAGTTAACTATTGTCTTATTTGGGGGAAGCTTATTATCTACTGCCTCCTTTCAGCCGGGTTGACCAGTTGAAATACGACATTCAGCACCTGCAGACAGGATTGCGAAATTTCCAGCATCGCCGTTATGCACGGGAGCAGCAAGAGAGACAGCGTGAGGAGCTGCTGGCCCGAACATTCACCACTAACGTAAGTCCTGCCCTTAAAACCAGGGAACCTATGCTTAAATTTGCTTTCTTTTTGCTTTCTGCCTTCAAACTTTTACAGCCAAGTTTTTTAAAATGGTTGTTGTGGAACGTTGGGGTTCTAGACTGAGAAGATCAGTAATAGTGGGAAACAAGTTGTTAAAAGTCCATTCATTTGTCATTGTTGATCTTCTGTACAAGACACCAGGATTCAGAAGCAGGCTCTTGAAGCATGGGGTGTGGCACCTGGATTTATTCTGGCTTTTGCTGAAAGACTATATGAGCAATACTCTTGAGAATGCACTGGGGCTGTTTGGGAAGTGGACTGATGTGGAAAAGAATTTGGGATGTGGAAAAGAATTTGGGAGGGCAGGAAGTTTGAACTTCATGGCCATAGCATATTGTTGATTCTGTAGAGCAGTGTTTCTCAACCTTGGCAACTTTAAGACCTGTGGATTGGCTAGGGAATTCTGGGAGTTGAAGTCCACAGGTCTTAAAGTTGCAAGGTTGAGAAACACTGCTGTAGAGGCTTATCTTGACTTTGGGTTAAGAATGTCAAGGAAAGGTAACCAAGATGCTTCCATTTCCTTCCCTCCCCCTGCAGGATTCTGACACCACCATTCCAATTGATGAAACTTTACAATTTAATGAATCCCTTCAAAATGCACACCGTGGCATGGATGATCTTATTGGCAGCGGAACCAGCATCCTACAGGGCCTGAGGGATCAGAGAGTGACATTAAAGGTGGGCATAGGGTGGGACCTTCACCTTTTTTGCATATGGTGACCAGGCATCCAATATTTTTGAAATTTGAATATCAGAAATCCATCAGAACAGTGGAAATCTCTTCCCCCAATTCAGTCATCCTGGCTTTGAATTACATGGAATCTAAATCTAGCTTTATTCTTGTTATAGTTTTGCTCTCCAAACTAGCTGCATCTTTGGGGGGAAATTCGGATGTTTATTAATGTAATTTCATTTTTTTTCAAGACATCTGTAGTTGAAATAAGCACATCCAGAAAAGTAGAAGAGAATTTTACAAGTCTACTTCTAGAAGAAGCACTCTTGGCTCTTATCACTTGGTCTAGTTCATATAGCACATGCTTTGCATGCAAGAGATCACGATTCTCTGGTTTGCCAGTTGCAAGTTTCCAGTGATCATTGATGGGAAAGACCCCTGAATCCATAGAAAAAGATGATTAGTTGGATTCAGCAACGTATGGGCTAGATAGACAAACAGCCTGTTAAGCTGTGTGGGAGCTTCCTTTAATAGAGTAATAGAGCTTCCTTTAGTAATAGAGCTAAAAAACAATCTGATGGTTTCCCCTTCTATTCTAAACTTCTGAAAGTGGATCCTCCATGCCAGTGGTACCCAAGGAGATTGTATGCATGAGGTTTACTCCAGTTTTCCTTTCTTTTTAGCTCTTCCATTCTCCTTGCTTCCTTCAGCCTGCTACTTGCCCTTCCTCAGAAATCCTGCTTATAACCATTGCTGGCTCTGGTCTCATTTCTTCAGTCATGCCTTCGGTGTTTGATCTTCTCTACCTTTCCAGGCCTTCTTCACATCTTTCTATGAGATCTACCTTGTTGTTGTGTATTCTGCCACTATCAACACATTGTATCCCTAGTACAAAGCTCTTACTGTTTCTGTGAACCTTTTCTCCTTCTCACCTTATCCTCAGATGCCCCATAGCTTGCTCTGCAGAGGTTAAACAAAAAAATCAGAGTTCTTAGTAGTCGCTGATGCAAAGAACAGTTTTGAACCTGATGCCTCTTTTTATTCTAACACTACTCTGTTTCTTGGATAAAGCTAATACTTAGAAGAGGCTGGCTTGGTCAGTGGATGTGGGCCTTGTGAATTGGGCAGTTTCTGATATTTTGGAAGTGAGAATATTATGTCCATGCCCTATCATAGCTTCATTTGGAATGCAGCTATTTTCTCAGATTGAAGTAACCAATTCCAGAAGCCTTTGAAATTGTGACAGATAAATAAAGGTGCCTCTAATAAAAGGAAGACTATTGGTTGAATATTTGTAAATAGAATTGGAAGGTCCCTTTTCCTAATTCTATAGCAAGAATATTCATTTTGTGTGCACCTATGCACTGGTGGACAAACAAGCTTCCAACTGGTTTCTGTCCTTCATTGTTTAACTATACAGTGTTGCTTTGCAGTTAGGTATGTGCATAGCCTACCATTCTGGAGAAGTCTGCAACTTTCCATTTGTCCTCTTGCCCACAGTCTGCAAAACTATCACTAGAATAGCCAGATCTGTGAGATCTGGAAGATAACAGGAACATTCCAGAGTTCTCCAGAATGTTCTGTTCCTGGGACAGTGGGTTTTACACATTCCAGTTGCCTTACTACTATTCAGATGACTGCAGGCACAGTCCTCCTTGCTGTTACATGTCCCTTGTTAGCTACAGTCTTGTTACCTTGTTATGTTTGTAGCTTAAAGACCAGACCTGTTACATGTTAAGGTGTTTGGATATCTGTGGTTTTGGCCATTTTTTGCTTCCTTATGCATGCACAAAATAGTGGATAGGCTTTTATGGCTATGTAAAGTATCTTTTAAAACAGTAAGGTTGTCCGTACAATGTATTTGCTCCTCCTGTAGTTGTGGTGGATCTATTTGGGTTAGCCTGGCTGCACAGTTCATGTGACTTCCTTGTGGTAGCCGGACTTATTTGGAGTGATTTGCTCAGCTGGTGATGGAGGAGATTCTATCATTAGTGTCATGTGGCTCATGCTGGGCTTCTCTGCTATGTACAGAGGAGGGAAGACTATCCAGATCGTAAGCATCATGTAGTCATTGGAGCAAGCCACAAGGAGCCTGTAGGCAGCACTAGAATCCAGTGGTCCATGAGATCATGAAACAGCTACGTGGAGGAGAGAAGCCAGCATGAACCATGTGGGCCTAGTGGGACAACTCCCTCCATCACCAGCCAAGCAAGCCAGTCCAAAGAATAAGAAGGCCAACTGCCACAAAGAGGTCATGTATAACCTTTGAACTGGGTGAACTGCCTTGGGCTGAATAAGGAGACAGAGGAGCAAATACAGTGGTACCTCGGGTTATGAATGCCTCTGGCCGCAAAAATTTACCTCGGTTTGCGAACTCTGCCTCAGGGTACGAACAGGATACAAGGCCATCTTCC